GAGCCCTCTCTCTTTGAGTCGGAGTTCCGACGCCCTCCATGTCACAATTCACACCGTAGCAAGCCAACGGCTAGTTTTTTCAAAAGCCGTGAGGGTATTCCCCACACCTCACTAACTTTAACTCAGCTTACATGGTGGGTCGGGGTTCCGCGCCAATGCGGCGTGTGTCCGAGCAACGGCTATAAAACGGCTTAGTTTTTCAAGGGGCTATAATACCCCAAGCCTCCACCTTGAGGTCATGCTGCTTGCTTGTTATTCGGTTGGAGTTCTCCTAGCTGAACCGACGTTCCGTAACTACAATGTGCTCAAGCTTAATCGCTTCATCTCGACGACTTACTGTAAACCCCAACAGAGCCTTTCACAAGTGCCCTTATTTCCTAGACGGTTAGACGTCGCCGGGTTTGTGCTTCTCACTTTGGTCAACATTGTTTGTCTTTCCCTCTTTGCTCGGGAGTCTCTATGTTGGATTTTCAATTCGCATTTCATTTGATGGGAGGATGTCAAGTTACTATCGGTGGGAGGATGAGATGGGGAGATCAACACTACACCAATATTTATTCTCAAGCAGATATATTCCCTTGTTTACTCAGGCTAACTTGTGAGCTTTAATTTGGAGTTTCCATTTTGGAAACTCCTTTCTAATTGTTTCCGCATTTAAAGGTGTTAATTTTCGTAAACGCCTATTCACACCCCCCCTCTACTGGTCCTTTCGGTGGTTTTCCTTGGGCTTGTATGGGCGTCCCGAACTTTTTCGTTTCCCCTATGCTCTTCCTCCGCCGTTGTTGGCACCAAAGGACGTGCCATCTTGCGACTCTCTTGAGCCTCTCTCTTTGACAGCCAGGTTCCCAGGTGCATTTGTTGTTGAAGGCCATGCACCAATGGACAAGAGGGCCTTTCACAAGTGCCCTTATTTCGTGGTTTGTGCTTCTCTCTTTGGTCAACATTGTTTGTCTTTCCCTCTTTGCTCGGTTTAGGAGGATTGAAAAAAACTTGTGTATTTGTGCTTGGTGCTTGCTTTGTATGCTATTTTCAAGAAGTAGGTCATTGTTGTGTGTGTGTGTGTGAGTTTTCATGGATGTATGGATCAATCAATGCATGAATGAATAGATGAATGAATGAATGCTTCTCATGGTTCATAACAACATTAAGACAAAGAAACTAACAGTTCACTCATCCATCACATAACTGGTGGTAGCATAATGTGTTTCATCACCAACAAAGATATGGTGTTTGATCACATCACTTACAGGTTACACATAGAAACTAAATTACTAGAGTTTGTTCACATTACTAACATGAACCATCAATTCAGACAAGGTTTTTCATGACAGCCCCAAAAGAACATCAAAGTACCAAAAGATCATGCGTCAGGGCCAAAAAAAGAACATCACAGCAACAATAGAACATCACTAGAGTTTCTTACTGCAGCTTCTTAAAACAGGTAGCAGTCAATACCACAAATTGAACTAACACATCACCTGAATGCCATGTCCATCAGCTGAAGTTGAGGCATGCAGTCTCCACGGGCATCCCTCATTCCTCGTAGAAGCGAGGCACCGAGTACCTCCCTCAGATCACTCTTGTCAATTTCATAGTTGAACTCATGTTTAACATCATGACTAGCTAAAGCAATCTTAAAAGAAGCCATATTTGGGTAGATAGTTCCCACTATCATAGGAGGGTCATTTTTGTCATATTCAATATCAGGAAATTGAAATTGCTCAGGCTTCCTATCAGCAACTTCCTCATCAGAGAATTCATCTATTTCTACTTCCTCATCTTCCTCGTCACTGGTTTCATCATCCCTATCAATAACTTCCTTATCAGATGATTCATGTATTTCTTCTTCCCTTTCTTTACTTCCCCCTTGGCTCTGAGAACTGGTAGGAGGAGGTGGAGGGTGGTTGGGACCAAGATCAATATACAAGCCTTCATCATCAATCCCCATATGCTTATTCATTGGATTTGGGTTAGCCAGTAACTTAGGTTGGCTTGCTTTTGGTGGCTGAGACATAGATAGCTGGCTTGGTTCTACTATGCTTGGAGAAACAACTGAAGGAGTGAATGGGGGCTCAACAGATTTCCTTGCCCTACCAAACTCCCAATCAGGAAGCACAGGCTAAATACCAGGACTATGATATGCAACAGTCAACAAGCATGTTTTGGTTGCCCTATTTTTTTCAAACATTGCTAGCATCTCTTGGTCATTGCGCACAGGTATGTGAACTTTACTATGCATGCACCAGTAAAACAATGTGGCTACATCACCATAGCTAGGAGGATACTTGTCAACCAAATCTTCCATAAGCCTAGTTAACAAAGTTCTGTCTGCATCCATCACTTCATTAACAGAAAACCACTTTGCACGATAATTGGGACCAACAATCCGCATTTCTAGGTTGTAACTACTGTTTGGGTCCATCCTACAGATGAACAAGGAGCACGTAATCAATAAACCCTAAACACGATTCCAGAGCGTAATACACTAATGCAATCAACATCAATACAAGGAGGGGAGAAGTCAAGGAGGGAGGAGGAGCGGTACTCACTCTTCCCTAACCAATCCGGCCTCTCGCCGGTCCGTTCCACAAGATGCCTGCCCTCCGCCCGACCGCCTTGCTCCACGGGCTAGGATTTCGAGGGCGGGCCGCCAACACCGATCGGGCGGCGTCTTCCTCCAGATCCACCGCCGCTAGGGTTCGCCACCCGCGTCCCCGCTTCGGGTGAGAGAGTGAGAACGAGAATGGGGAGAGACTGAGAGAGAGGCTCGGGTGAGACTGAAGGAGATGCGGCCCAATATGTCAGTGACCCAGAGGGCAAGGAGGGTATTTTTCTAGCCCGGTCCCACATGTCAGAGCCGCCAAACGGCCAAAACCTAACATAATGCCGACGGAATGGCGTGAGGGAAAAGAAAAGTTCGAGCGAGGGCATGTAGATGACGACCAACTTTTGAGAGATACGCAGAGTGTGACATCTTTTTTAAGGGTACACAGGTAAAAGCCTCAACTACTTATACACCATACATTACCTGACGGAGGGCAGAGCAGTAATTGGTGCTGGGGGAAGAAAGACGGCCCCGTGACGACGGCCTGCCACCACAGCTACCCCCATCCACCACCACCAGAAGGAAAAGTGCAATCAAAACCCGCGCTAATCCACATTCTAATCCGCATATTAGCTGTGCTGCGGTTGGATCAGCGAGACCCAAGCGCCATCCGCGTCCGGCGGTACAGGTAGTTATCGCTTATATTAAATATCACCCGCACTTTACCTTTCCTCTCCTTTCATCCCTCCGTCCGCCTCTTTCGGTCTTTCCTCCTGCTGCCTCCTCGGCGCTCGCTCCTCCGCCGCTCGCCGGAGCATCGCCGCGGGCGCTTCCTCCTTCGCGTTGACCCCGACACCTACGCAGGCTCCGCAGTCTACGCCGCGGCGGAGTTCGGGAGCCGCTTCCGTACGCTCGGGACGCGGCGGATCGGAGCAGGGGGCGGGCGCGGATCGGAGCGCGCGGGGACGCCGGTAGCGGCCACCGCAGGGGAATGTGGGTCCCCGTTTGAGGAGGTCTCGGTCCTGGAAGCTGCGGCGAGATGAGACGGTGAGCGATCTGCGGTTCTGTGGATTGCTAGTCGGGAATTGTTGAGCGGGTGCACCCGCAACTGTGGGTGGTTGGGTTTGTTTGAGAGGATGCGGTCGAATCGTTTTCTATGGAATTTGCGCAACAAAATTTCGGGAACTGTTTGATTCGTCAGAATTGGCTTGGCCTTGTGGACTCGGCTCATGTTTTCACCGGGATTTTTTTTTCTGATTATTATTATTATTTTGCTTGCTTTGAGTCATACGATTCTATTCACCTCGAATTGGGAGTGCTTTTTTGATAATAAACTAACCCTGCAATTCTGGCGGTTCGTTGTCGAAATCTGTTCTAATCCTTCCTTAATTTTGTATTTCCTCTTCAAATTATAATTTGCCGGACTGTTTGGTAAACTGGGTTGCAGTGCCTGCAAATGCCGGGTCTAATTTGACGAGTTCCCGCGCTCGCCTGATTCTATGAGTTCTGTAGCAGCTCGCTCAACTCGTAGTTTCGCGTGGTGCCGCGTAATTCTCTTACTATTCGAGCACCTGTTCTTTTCTGGGCGACGAATTTGCTTCAGATAATGAAACGTTTATTTATTGTAGAACTGAGCCTAATGTGGCAAACATTTAATTTCGTGGTTAGTTTTGAGTTTTTTCTAAATTCGAACTGTTCCATAGATTTGACCATTTTCTGGAAAGGATTTGACCACTTCAGTTGCTATTTTTGCCTGTGTTTCTGCTATTCTACGACGATAGGTTCGATATGATGTGATTCGCGGGCTATAACTCTAGTGCTTCTTAATATGAACTCTTTTATTTATGTGAACTGATCTGTAGGTGATCTGAGAAGGAATTTTGAACTATATGGATATGGATGTATTTCTATATTTTGTGATTGAGATGGTGCACAGCTGTTGGATTCTCTGTATCAACAGGAGAGTTTGACTTTTTTTAGCATGCTACCACGTGTATTCTGGGTATTACCTGCGTGGCTACTGGCCACAGTGTCTTTTATTGCGGGAACAAATTTAGTGAGCTCGCCTTTTGTAGAATTCAGCCCCGGTCTTTAGGCATATAGACTGGTGTGGAAAAGTAGGCACAATTGACACATGTTCATAATTACTTATTTACATTAGTTCGATTAGACGCTTCCTTTTGGGTTGCGATATTCTGTTTACATCAGCTGAGACAAACTTTTTAAGCTATGCCCACTTCACTTTAGTTTGGCATCTTCCATTACAATGTGCCATTTCTAGCTATAATTTAGTAATGAAATGTGTATACAGTGCTCTAACAGGATTAGTAATTCATTCTTCTTGTGTGCCCAGATTAAGGAGACCGGTTCTCTTGAGCTGGGGACTGCAAAGGATAAGTGGCTTCAGTCATTGCGCTCTGGGTGTTTAGATCAAGGGACCAATGCCTCCAGGATAATGGCAGGGAAGGATGGAGTTACTCTGAAATCTGTGTCATATGGGGCAAGATTGCGCAGGAGTTGTGATGCGTCACTGAGAGAGGGAGGGTCCATGAGAGATCCATTCTCGAAACACAGAGTAAAGAAGTTTGATCTATCTAGCCTAGATTGGATTGATGAGATTCCAGATTGCCCTGTATTTTCTCCATCAACCCAGGAGTTTGAGGATCCTATGGTTTATCTCAGCAAAATTGCCCCTGTGGCTACAAAATATGGTAATAGTTGCTTCTCTGTATCCTTTGTTGATTATATTCTTCTAGCTAGGTGACAAGGTCAAGTGTTGATAATGATGATAGACAGAGAACTAATGGTTGACAGATGTAGTTGCATGAAAACGACATGAAGAAATTAGCAATGAGAGTTGCTATACTTACACACTGGTGACTCTTTTGTCCCCAAACTACTAAATTATCTCAGGTGGCGAATTGTTCAAGTGTAGGGACCTACCGAGATAATTGTGAAGTTTAGATACCTAAGTATTGCCACCTTGCATGTTTTGGTATCTCGGAAGCAATTTTCGCTTAGCAACCTTTCTGAGATGCGCCCCCATAAATCTTGTTCTTTAAACAATGCACTCAGATCTTAATCATACAGCCCCTTTGTTTACTGTAGTATGTGTTCATAATCCCCAATTTTTTTACTTTTGGCCCTTTTTTTGAACAAAATTTACGTTTGGCCCCCTGGGAGACTTAAACTCATCTTTGGACCCTGGGGATCGGCGTCAGGACTCATGGCGCCAAGGTAACACGTCTCGGCGCCACAGATCTTGGTTCCGAGGTGCCTGGCCGTGCACAGCAGGGCATCCTAGGTGGCGTTGACGTGGCCGGTACCTCGGCGCCAGAGTACATGGCGCCGAGCATGGATTCAGAGCGCGGTGGAGCGGGCGGTGGAGGTCGCTGAGGTTGACTGCTCACTAGTCACTGCTCACACGTTGCATTCATGTTGCCCACTAGTCACTGCTCACACGTTGCAGCAATAACGACCCCCATAAGTACCACTACCACAGTACCAGTTCTGCCGACCAGAAGCACGGATTGGCCGCTTTACCTTCTGCGAAGCAGCACAGAGCAAACATCAGAGAAGCAACAAGAACAAATTACTGTGCTACTTAACTACACTAATTAACTAGCAGCTTTAAAAAAAAACAATTAACTAGCAGCTGATACTGTGCTACTTGAAACTTGAATTGTGAAATTTTGACTAAGCTTTCAGGTCGATGTACATGCCCGGGGATCGGTGACAGGTGGCCACTGCATTTTCTCGACAAATTAATGATCTATCTCATCAGTTTTTAATTCTACTGTGATTAGATTGAGATGCCCTAGTTGGTTCTCTTGGAGCATGGCGTCACGACTGATGAGATAACATTAAAAACTGACCACAATGTATACCCAATAATTTTATCTGCATGGAATGAAATGCTAGAAACAGTATGTGTCATTTTCGATTAGTATATGCGTATTGTACCGTGGCAGCTGGCAGGGCTGTAAGTTGCATTGCTTATGTGTTAAGGAATATTAAAGAGCATCGGTGAAATTTTTTTAGGGTAATAATAAAGAGCATCAGTGATAGTGTGCCAGCTAGTACTAGATCACGCATGTGGTACCTGGTATTACTTTCATGCCGTGCGTGAGCAAAGATTGTAGCGCAAAGTGCTTGTTATTTAATCATATTATTGCGGCACAGTGTGTTTGCCTCTAATAGTAGTTTTTGTTGATGCTAGTGCTGGCTAGCTAGCAAATACTCGTATGAGCTACGCATAACCGGGGAAAAAAAAGATGAGCTAAGCAAACCTTTCCAAAGTTCAATAAATGCATGCCACCGAACACTCTGGTCGGTGCGCCTGTAAATGCATGCCACCGAACACTCTGGTCGGTGAGCAACATGAATGCAACGTGTGAGCAACGACTAGTGAGCAGTCAACCTCAGCGACCTCCACCGCCCGCTCCACCGCGCTCTGAATCCATGCTCGGCGCCATGTACTCTGGCGCCGAGGTACCGGCCACGTCAACGCCACCTAGGATGCCCTGCTGTGCACGGCCAGGCACCTCGGAGCCAAGATCTGTGGCGCTGAGACGTGTTACCTTGGCGCCATGAGTCCTGACGCCGATCCCCAGGGTCCAAAGATGAGTTTAAGTCTCCCAGGGGGCCAAACGTAAATTTTCTTCAAAAAAAGGGCCAAATTGTAAAAAACTGGGTTCATAATCTTCATCAGTGTGCGCCATAAATAATGGTTTTTTGAGTTCCATGTGCCTGCTGAAAAATAAGAAGATGAACCAATGCTCACACGTGGAATTGTTCACAACTTTGGTTATGGATTTTAAAGTAAGTTTCTGTGAATATTGTGTTGTTGTGACCATGTGCAAATTCCCAGGTATATGCAAGATCATTTCACCGATCTCTGCTTCGGTACCTGCGGGCACTGTATTAATGAAGGAATTAGGTGGGCTTAAGTTTACGACCAGAGTTCAGCCTCTCCGTCTTGCTGAATGGTCCAAGGATGACAAGTTTGCCTTCTTCATGAGTGGAAGGTTTGTATGGCCATTCATATTGCATAGTGCATGATATGCGATTTTAATGTTTGCAGTGCATAACATGGTAGTATAAATTATCAGAAAGTACACATTTCGGGAGTTTGAGAAGATGGCAAATAAAGAATTTGTACGAAGATACTCCAGTGCTGCTTGTCTTCCATCAAGGTATATGGAAGAGGAGTTTTGGCATGAAATAGCTTTTGGCAAGATGGAGTCTGTTGAGTATGCATGTGATATCGATGGTAGTGCATTTTCTTCTTCTTCTAATGACCAGCTTGGGAGAAGCAAATGGAACTTGAAGGTACTTATTTTGTGTCCCAGTTTCTACAGGCATTTATGTGCTTCTTAATTTTACGTGACGCCTAAAACTTATTTTGCACTGCTTTACCTATTTTGCTGTATTGGTTGCATATAATCTGCTGATATTCTGTGTTATGACTCTGTTCAAAACTTGTCTTATACATGATGAATTTATCTTTAATCATTCCATAGTAGGGACCAGTCTAAAATAGTAAATGTAGTCTGTCTAATTCGTATGAGTATTTGGTAAACAGTGGGCACATTCTTCTACTCAAGAAATCCACATTCCTTCTGTTATTTCTTTGTCAATGTTTCTAACCCTGATATTTTTATGATCATCTGGTGATCTTATGATCATTTCTGGCAATGATGATGGTATCATAAAGTATTTTTGTCTGTGCTTTGATCCAGAGATTCTCACGGATGCCGAACTCTACACTACGTCTTCTCAGAGCTGCAGTTCCAGTGAGTAGACCGCACTGATAAATTTCCATCCTGCCTTTTTCAGTTACTTACATTTCATATATTTTCAGGGAATAACAGATCCAATGCTGTATATTGGGATGCTCTTTAGTATGTTTGCCTGGCATGTGGAAGATCATTACCTGTACAGGTGCATGATCTATGGGAATTTTTATCCATACAGTCACTTGAGGGGAACTGTTCATCTATACCACCAACCTAGTCAATGACATGTGGAGTCTGATCCTACATGTCATATTTTTTAGGGAACGATCCTACATGTCATTGACACAGGCTGATGGTATAGATAAAATACATATCTCAAGTGGCGGTATAAATGAAAATACTCCCACTATCTATATTTTTTTTGTCATTATTCTTTGCGTGATACTGCTCGTTGACACTTTAGTTATTCTCATGTGAGTTATCATTTTGCCAGTATTAACTATCACCACTGTGGAGCCTCAAAAACATGGTACGGTATTCCAGGAAGTGCTGCTTCTGATTTTGAGAAAGTGGTACGTGAGCATGTATATGATCACGAAATTTTATCAGGTGAAGGGGAAAGTGCAGCATTTGATGTTCTTTTGGGGAAGACTACAATCTTCCCACCTAATATTTTGCTGGATCATCATGTTCCAGTCTATAGAGCCGTACAGAAACCTGGAGAGTTTGTTGTAACATTTCCCCGAGCTTATCATTCTGGTTTCAGCCATGGTAAGATCTCTTATGCAATTACCTGCAGTCATCTGCTTTCTAAAACTATTCAACATCTTGAATCTTCTATTTTATTTTATGATTTATTGAAAACCATTGAACAAATGTCAGGTTTCAATTGTGGTGAGGCAGTAAATTTTGCTACAAGCGAATGGTTTCCTCTAGGAGCAGTTGCTAGTCAACGTTATGCACTTCTGAAGAGGATACCAGTATTACCTTATGAGGAGCTTCTTTGTAAAGAAACAACATTTTTTACTAATGAGTTTTCCATCTCTGATCACGGAGATGTAGCATTAACTGGAGACACACATATACAGAGCTATATGAAGGCCCCCTTTGTGCAGTTGATGCGGTTCCAACACCGTGTTCGTTGGTCACTTGCAAAATGGGTGCTCATACACGCTATAAAGCAGACATTGACGCCACAGTTCTCTGTGGGATATGCAAACGTGACTGCTATATAGCTCACATTATGTGTAACTGCAGAGCCGATGCAATTTGCCTTTGTCATGGTAAGGTCGTTTTGCACTTATTACAGATTACAGATATTTGCTTCATTTGTGATTATCTTATTTACTTATTTACCTTGTTTTGAAGAGGAAGAGATTAGGAAGTGCTCTTGCAACTGTGATCGTGTTGTTTTTGTGAGGAAAGACATCTTTGAACTGGAGGAACTATCAAAGAAGTTTGAGGAAATTGGGATATTGGATGAAGTAGGAAAACAAATGTCTCAAAGTGATGGCTCTAGCACGCATCCTTATTTGTCCAATGGCATTGACCACAATGCTAAATACTTCCCATATTGCAAGATCCTAATTGATACATCCCCTGAACTTCATACCTTGTCAGAGGTAGATGTTCTTGGATATGATCTGAATAAGCCATATCCTACATTATCAACAATAACTTCTGCACATGGACCCCAGGAGTATTCTACACAAAGTGATGTATGATGCCTACCTTCTCTACTTCTGCTTTTCTGCGTATTATTTGGGTAACTTAAAACTTTTATGTAACTTTATTTTTGCAGGAGTGTACTAGTTCTAACCGAAGAACATTCTCTAGCTCATGTCCAGAGAATGGAATGATTAATGTTTATCCTTTATGCACTGATCAAGCATTGGCTGCTCAGGATACTGATGATTCTGACTGTGAGGTATTTAGAGTCAAGAGACGATCTGGCATAATTCCAGAGAAAAGATGTTCAGAAGATGTAACAGTAAATTTAACTGAGAATCAGGTACTTTTACTTTTGTGATTTTGCTTAGTTTAACTGCTCCTCCTCTATTTAAGAGTGGATGGCTCTGCAGTATGTTTGTTAAACTTTGACAAATAATGATTAGATTGGTCATGTGATGTTAATGGTCAAACTAAGGGAGGTCAGACAACATGGTTTGAAATTGGAATAGGAGGTCACAACAAAATTACGGCTATGAGAATATTAGGGGTACAATATATAAGATGTTTGGTTGATTTCCAGGATCAAATGTCCCTTCCTATTTCTGTCCAAAAAAGCTGTCCCTTTCTATGATGATGGACTCACTCAACTAATATAACTCAAATCTAATCTGACATATCCAAGAACTGCGTTTGTTGTAAGTGAACTGACTACAACTAGAATTCTTGTTCGTGTTGGATTTCGACTTCTTGTTCCTCCTGGACATCTTGCTATCCGCTAGCATTGGACTCTGGTGCCTGCACATCTGTGCTGCCCTTGCCATGCTATTTCACACTGTTGCGTCATTGCTGCAGCTCTTTTGTGAACCCAAATCCATAACTTTACACCCCTTCCTGACAAGCAGCTCACCTCTGAGCTGTAGGACCTATCTAACTCAACTTATTGTTCTTCAACATCCTTTTTTTTATCTCAACTTTTTATTCTTCTTGGACTCTTTGCTACCTGCTAGTATTGAATTCCTGCACCTCTATGATCGTGCTGCAGAACGCAAATACGTTGTTGCTAAACTTGCTGTGAAGGGTCCTCGTCCACACGACCACAATAGTAATAATCATGAGTAGGGCATACCTTAACACATAAGTTAATTATATTTGAATGAAGGGTTATTATTATTTTAATTAATTAAGTTGTTGAGACAGGATGTTGTATTGAACTTAAACAATCGACCTGAAACAGTTTCTGGGCCTGTTTGTTTTAGCTTTGGTTTCTTAAAAGCTAGCTGCATATTGCAGGTTGTTAAAAGCTTTATTCTTTAAATCTGTAAGCTGGTGGGATGCATCTTGTGGATTGTGGTGTAAAAAGGGTTGGGTTCTAACAATCTACTTTTAAAGTACACCCTGTTTATTTTAGCTTCAGCTTTTAGAACTAGAATCTAAAATTCAAAGCTAAATCAAATAGGCCCTTAGTTGTGCTAGTATTTTTGGAACCTTATTTACTGAGTTGTATATAATTATCTTTAACATAAAAGAATCATCATTTTATACCAATCCTTTAACCTATTTGATGTATCCAAAGTTTTTTTTATGCACGATAAAGTTGTGAACAGGCTTAAACAGGTTTGACTGTAACCTGCTATGGAGATTGGCTAATCAAAATCTATGCTACTGCACGTGAAAGACTCTCCTAGTTTCTAAGCTTCATTTCAAAAACTATTAGCAAAATGATCACTAAACCTAAATGATGGATTAAGGAGCTTAATTCCCTAATAAAAGACATAATAAACAATCAAACATGGAGAGACTTTACACAACAATAACTTCTCAGAAATAGCAATTAAACCAATTTACTTAACAGGACGTTTTTATTGAATGGTTAGATAAATGCGCAACCTTTTTTCAGAACTTTCAGTATTTACCTTAACTCATGCCGCCTACTCTTTTACTAATGGCTTGCTCATTGTTTGTTTTGCTAGGCTTTAAGACGGTTAAAGAAAGCCCGCTGAGATGACAGACAAGAGAAGAACACAACAGAAGTATCCTGTGGTACAAGAAGTGTCAATCTGGGTGCTGAATCGCATTGTCTTGACTCCATTTCTGGAAATACAGATAACTTCATCAATCGAAGCAAACTAAAAATGAGGATACATCAGCTAGATGCAAAAATTGTGCAAGACGAAGTTGCTTTCAGCCAGAAATCTATCGGTTGCAGTTACCTATCTCCATCTGTAGATCTTGGGCCAAAACGCTTGAAAATTCGTGGCCCATCCTTCCCAAGCACTGTTTCTGAAGTGGAAATGTCTTATAGGTTCCAGGAGGACAGTGACTTGGCTAGTCAGCACACTCAATGAATTATGCTGCTATTGGTGCTAACTGCTAACATAAATCGTAACTTCTGGAAGATGAAAGCTCATTTTCATTGGATGTCTCAGTACTGATTTTTTCTACAGGTCTCCAATGGAGGTACTGTTATGGCTGGATTTTATGATTCTATTGCCAGGTCACCTATGTGGCATGGGACCTGAAAGCTGTAGGCAGGCAATTTTTCTGATGATCGGTAGCTGTATATCTTCACTTATTTCCTTTCTTTGTAGGTTTTCCACTGTGAAGAGGTTAGTCTACTACTTTTAACAATTTCTTTCATTCTTTTTCCACCACAGATACACCTGTACCTAGAATGCTTTAATAGATCCTCATACGAAATGGACATTGTACATTTTTTTTAACGTGTCAGTCTTTGCTCTTTTTTATAATCTGGAATCATTTGCATTTTCTTATTCCTGTGCCATTGTTGGTACTGGTACATTTGTCCCCAGATGTGTTGATAACTTTGATATGTTAATAAAACGATTGATGCTGACAGGAATTCACTACCATTGACTGTCATGTTGCATATGCAACAAAATAGATGCTTTGTGATAATGTTGAAGCGCATGCAAATGCTCGAATCCATCATGTCAGTCTCAACTCCTTGCTGCTAGATCCTGATCTACTGAAATCTGTCATATAAGATTTACCCTCTTGTAAGTTCAGGATATAATATTTGGTTAGACAATTATTTTAATTTCATTATTGTTGGAAAACCGGGGTTTCCAGCAAGTAGGACACGAAAGGCCTTCGCCCAGCCGGATGCCCTGGGCGAAGGTATGAGAAGTGGAAGGTGGGCCCAAGCTCAATTAGGGTTTCATAAATGTATTCGTCCACCACCCCTCCTACAGAATTTGCTCCCTTTTTATAGGGCACTGCTTACTAATGCGCTGCATTACAACTCTACCCCGGACGGCCGTGTTACATTCCCGTTATATCCCTGTGCTAATACAAACCGTCCGGGGTAGTTCGGGTATCCTCTTCTTCAACTGCCTTTGCTTATTGGGCCGCTATCGTGAGTCCGTCTGTGGCTCACGGCCCAGCACCGCCGCCTCGCGAAAGCTTCCCCGGCTCCTAGAACCTCTGCCTGAGGTGCCTTCTCCCGGGCCTTCGCATCGACGCTTGGACCATAGCCTTCGCCTGTATTGCCCGAGCCTTCGCCTTCGGGCGCCTTCGCCGTGGCTTCCGGACCTTCGCCCAGGGCGACCATACGGGCAGAGGTTCCCATCTTTTTCCCCTGCACAACGCTCACAAAACTTTGTTAGTCGTTAGTTCTTAATGCCACTGCGGGCCTAGGAGCCTCCGCGGCTCATAACCGTGCTCCAACAATTATATATTTGGTCGGTTAGCTAAGTAGGTAATTTTGACTTATCCCCTAAGTAGCTTCTATTTGTAGAATGAATTCGTCCATTCTAATTCTCGATAATACTTTAGGTAGTCTAGGTAGAACTTACTTGCTGTTTCCTGTCTCATTGCTTTTACAAAATTCTGCAAACTAGGCATTATATACCTCATATCATTGGCTTTGCATAACGTATTAAATTACTGAGTCCTGGTGGGACAAGGACAATAGCCAGTGCTGGGTTTCTTACTTCCACTTACCCACGGACCATCATTCTGCCCCACCTGTTGACAAACTGAACTTCTTGACGAGGGCATAAAAGAGCCATTACTCTACAGTCTGGTGTGATTTTTTGCACGACTATCGCACTTTACCTCGGTAAAGAGGCTAGCCCTTCACTAAAAACTCATGATGGGGTTCATATGGAGAGATTTGATATCTTTCTCACTTTGCGTATTCACTTTTCATTCTTTTGTGCATGTTCTCAAAAATTACATGTTATCAAATCATCGCATGTCTTTAAAGACAAGTAAAAAAGAAAGAGGGATTCTCTTTGCTGCCACTCTCACATGTCGATGATGATTAAACGCTGAGTGCTGAACTGCTGACTGAAGCTTTGCCGTGACCCCAAGAAGACTGCACTTGTGCTTGTCCTGTTTTCTATTCGGCTATCATGTCAGCCTCATCTGATGATAGGTGCAGCATTAAGGCGAAGATATGCTTCACAATAACTGTAAGTGCGCCTAAGATGCCTTTATTTGGTTTCATGTCATATCTTATTTATGAACCTTGTTCAAAGACAAATGTTCCATCGCCCTATTCACTTGGCTGGTTTGGAGATTAACAAACTTGGAATCATATTTTTCTGAAGAAATATTTTTGGTTGATTTGGTATGAGAGAAAAAAATTATTCGTTATATCAAAAATGACATGAAAAAAGTACGGTGATAAGGAACCTATAAATTTTGTTTCAACAAGCAAGTTTGATCATCCAAACATTTTTCAAAAGAGTCGTATCCTAATTAGGAAACGACCGTGGTTTTCAGTGTCTAGGCTAATTGCAGGAAACAATCTTCTGATGGAATCTGAAATTGCATTATTGTCCGCACATTAGGCACTTCCGAGTACACTGCTGTGTCCAACTAATAATATAAAAGGGCAAAAAAACGATCCTATTTGGATCTTTTCCACACACCTGACGCGGCTTCGGCTGGCTATGGCCGAGCGAGGAAGAAAACGGTCACACGGCCTCTCACTCGATTACGGCAAGCCACACACGGGCGCAATGCTTGACGAGGCGGATTTGTGTAAGAGAAAAATATTGTTCCAGCTAAAAATTTACAATCACTTACGACAAGCCACAGCCAAACGAATATGCTAACAGTTGCCACCATGATCCGGTCATAGTCTAAAACTCTTAAATGTCCCAAGACTTTTAGGACGAAGTACCATCCGCCACTTTTGCCATGTGCTTATTGTCCAACATGCTAATAACTCAAGCTAGGCATTTTGCTCTTATAGTCAGCCCCGTTTGATTTCTACGGACGCTCCTAGAATTCTTTTTCATCAATTCAATATTTTTAGAAATGCTAACTTTCAAAATATTAAATATAGAAAATGTACTAATTACAAAACTAATTACACAAACTTTGCTTTTACTAATTTATCTAGATTTTTAAATTATAGAATCTTTTTTAACTCAAAACCCTAATTTTGTTTATGATGAAGCAAAGTTTGAATTAATTTGAATACAAATCTTGCTCCAAAAATTTTGCTACATTACCTAGATGATTTACAAATAACAAATTAATTAGGCTTAAAAAATCATCTCGTAAATTAACCTTCATCTATGTAATTGGTTTTGTAATTAATCTATATTTAATGATCTTTATTATCTTAAATATTCGATGTGATATAAATTTTACGAGCGTATAGAGAACAAGCACCCCGTACTGGTACGTACGCACCTCTGCCAGATGACGCTTCATTCCAATATTTTCTGCGCCGCTGTGGCCTGTGGGCTCGTGGCCTGCCTTCAGCTTAGGTCCATGACCATGCTATGCACGCAAGCACAGCAGTGGACACTGATGCATGTACCTTGTTGAGGAGTAAATTGTTGCATGGCCTCTGCCTCTGCCTCTGCCTGGCCATGAATGGATATCAAAATCCTCAACCAGATGTGACCACACTCTGGAAGGAGACAAACCATTAAAGGCCACAGAGTTCAAGGACTCCATATCTTGACCTACCTGCTCACTGCTCAGTACCATGGATCAAATCCTGGTATACATACACCATGGAAGTTCAAGCACGGTACTGGTATAGTATCCGATTCACACGCGTAAGGACTCTTGGGTGAAGGTATGCCAACTCCTGAGGTGCTGTTTGGTTGGACTGGTTTGGCGTGGGATCCGAT